TTACAGCAGAGATAGTGGATAGATTCTGAGTTATAGTGACACTGTACCAGCTTTGTGGGTTATTGCGAGGCAGTTGTGGTGATGGTTTCCTCATTCTTATGTTGTTGCTTATGATTGTGATCATGTGTTCTCAACTTCATGAGCATAACAACCTTGATAGATACTGGGTTCTTCATCTTCCACTACCACCTCAGGTTGATGTCCCGACATCCCCTGGCCTGTCTTCAGCAAGAATCCTATTAGGTCAGTTTAACCAAAACCCCTCATACCCCAGTGTCTCCTCTTAGTAATGAAATTCTCACTTGCCCACACTGTATTTGCAACTGAGCCTGGTTCTGCACTGAGGTCTCTTTTCTCCTACTGTGATAGTTGGGATTAAAATCTGTTTTTCCTGCTTTAAATACTGTCTAGCTCTGGTTTTTAACAGTATCTCCCATGTATACCTGAAGTATACATGTTAATAAACTTATGTTTTTTTCTTGTTAATGTATCTTTTAGTACCAGGGGTCTCAGTCAAGAACTCAGAAGGGTAGAGGGAAAATTACTTTTGTCCCCTGTATTCCCTGTTTGTAAAATCAGTTCTAGAGCACTAAGATGAGAACTGCCTCATTTAGAAGGTGAGCAGTAAAAGCGTTCATGGATTGAAAGATTCAGTATTGTAAAGACGGTCTCTCCAAATCAACCTATAGATTCAAAGCAATCCTAGTCAGAATCTCAGGGGTTTTTTCTTAACTGAAATTGACAGGCTGAGTCTAAAAATTCATGTGGAAATGCGAAGGACCAAAAATAGCCAAAGCAACCCTGAAGGAAAATAAAGCTGAAGGGTTTATCCTACCAGACACTAAGACCTATTATAAAGTTACAGTTATTAAAATAATGTGTTATGGCACAAGAATGGTCAAACTGACCAATGGAAAAGAAAGCATCCAGAAAAAGAGCCACACATACTAGGTATCCTGATTTATTACAAAAGCAACATCGTAAGTAGTTCACTGGGAGAAAGAATAGTCTGCTGAATAAACGCAAGGTTAACTGGACATCCATTTGGGAAAAAAATATGTTGATCTTTACTTGATACCATATAAAAATCAGTTCCAGATGTATGACAGAGCTAAATGAAAAAGGTAAAATAAAGCTTTTAGAGAAAATACCTGTCTAACTCTAAAGTAGGCAAATATTTCTTTAAAAACACTAACCACAAAAGAAAAAGGTTCTATTGGATTATAATAAAATTAAGAGCTTTTGTTCATTTAGACACTATTAAGAGAGTGCCACACATATTCTGAGATATTTGAGGTACATATATCCAACAAAAGACTTGTATCTGAGATATCTGAGGTACATATATCCAACAAAAGACTTCGAATCAGTAAAAGAGATCACCCAATTGAAAAATATGCAAAAAACATGAATTGATTTTACAAAAGTGGATTTACAATGGGTGGGCTCATAAACCTATAAAAGACTCTCAGTTATCAGGAAAATGCAAATTAAAGGCAAGAGGACAGACCAGAATAGTTAACAAGAAAGACTAATATTACCAAGTGTTGGTGAGGATGTAGAGCAACCAGACCTCTTATACTCTGCTGCTAGAGGAGTATAAACTGGTACAACAATATTTGACAGTATCTACAAAAGGTGAACATGTGCATTTCCTATGACTCAGTAATTCCACTTCTAAGTATATACCCAACAGAAACATGTTGAACAAAACATATATACTAAGCAGCACTATTCATAATAGTCCCAAATTGGAAACTACCCAAACCATGAACAGTAGAATAGATCAAGAAGTTGTCATACATTCACATGCAATACTATGGAGAAATAAAAAATGCTCACATGACAATATGAATGAATCTAACAAAACCAGAGAGCAAAAAAAGTCGGCCAAAAAAGAGCATATACAAATGGAATTGTACAGTGTAGACAAAACTAAGTTAGTTATTACAAGTCTGAATAATGGTTTTCTCTGAGGTGGGCAGAGCTGACAAAGGAAGTAAAAGGTAGCTTCTGGTGTGCTGGTGATGTTGTTTCTTGATCTGGCTGTTGGTTACATGGGTGTATTCAACATGTTAAAATTTGTCAATCTGCACATTTATGATTTGTACACTTTTCTTATGAATATTATGCCTCAATAAAGATTACATGACAAAAAGGAAACAGCAAACTGAAAACAATTTTCTACAAGTATAATAAGGCTAAGTAACACATGAAGAACTCATGCAAATCAATTTTTTTTTGCAAATCAATTTTTAAAAAAAATAATTTATTTATTTGAGAGAGAGAGAGAGAGCAAGGGGAGGAAACAAAAACCTGAAGCAGACTCTGCACTGAGCATTGAGACCGACATGGGGCTTGACCCATGACTGCAAGATCATGAACCCAGCTGAAACCAAGAGTCAAGACGCTTAACCCACCAAGCCACCCAGGTGCCCCTGCAAATCAATTTTTAAGAAGCTAGCATCCAGGGGTGCATGGTTGGCTCAGTCGGTTTAGCGTTGGGACTCTTGATTTGGGCTCAGGTCATGATCTCAGGGTGGTAGATTGAGCTCTGTTTCAGGCTTCAGGCTCCGCACTGGGCATGGAGACTGCCTAAGATTCTGTCTCTCCCACTGCTGTCTCTCCCTCTGTACTCCCCCCCACAAATAAAAAATACAAATAAAAATACAGAAGCTAGCATCTAAAAGGAAAATGAACAAAAAATACAAAAAGAAGCATGCAAAGAAAGAAAGAAAAATGGCTCAAATAAATGCACAAAATATGAATTAGAACAAGGGAGTGCTATTTTTCCCTATCAAATTAGAAAAGATTAAAAAAAACTAAAAAGGCCATTGCTGAGGATTTGGTGAAATTGATATTCTTATTCCTAATGGAAATGTAAATTAGTATAACCTTTCTGTATAAGTCTTAAATTGTCATATCCTTTTGACCCACTAGTTTCACTTCTAGAAATTATTCTAAGGAAAAATCAGAGTTGCAGTTAAAGATGGAATCATATCAGTGTTATTACAATGGTATTTTGAAACAATATAATTATCCAAAATGGAAAAATGGTTATATTACAATACACACATATGCTGGAATATTATGTTATCAATAATGTTTTCAAAGAGTAATGAATAATTAAAGACTCATGATAAATTTATATGAAAAATACATACAAAATTCTATTTGGTATGATACCTTTTGCTTTAAAAAATATCACACGCTAAACATAACACTTGCTTAAAAAAAAGTCTGTAAGAACACATAATACTATAATGTTAATAGCAGCCATCATTGGGTGGCAGGATAAAGGATGATTTTAATTTTATGGCTTATTTTCTACAAGGAAATGATTTTTGAGCATGCATTACTATTATATTCAGAAATCTAAAAAATAATAGGGTAAAAAAAAGAAAAAAAAAACATCCGCCCAGGTTTCTTTACCCTACACATCTGAGCAACCTAGATTTTTGTCTCCTTCAGCTCCCACATTCAATCTGTAACTGTTTCCTTGATTTTACCTTTAATTCTAAGAATTACCTGTCCAAGCCATCAGTCCATTATTTCTTCTCTTATTTCCAAAATTCAGACACTTGTCTTCCCAAATGAGCTCCTGGAATCCAGACTCTTCATTTTGGTAAAATGGCTCTATCTTGCACTACTTCTACATTCTAGCCACATCAAACCACTTTATATAGCGACCCTCCACACTCATGCCCCTGAAAAAATCCACACCAGGTACTTTCACACCTCCTAACCTTGGCATGCTCAGTTCTCTTTCCCAGGAATGCATTTTCTCCTTTCGTTCTAATCCGATTCATAGTTCAAGATTTACCTCCGATATCATTTACTGGGTGTAGCTTCTCTGAGGCCACAAGAACAGACTGGCGTTTCCACATCAATCCTCCAATAACAGTTAATACATATTTCAACACTTATCATTCTGCACTGTTTAATGGCTAGCTTTCCCAGTGTATGGAATGGGCCATTTCTTTTTTTAAAATTTCTTAAAATCCGGTTGGATGAGTGAACATAAAGCATACATATATGCAATATATCTACGCTGCGTATGAGCTTTCACCTGTATCTGATAGATAAATGGCAACAAAAACACTCGCCTGTTTTTGTTTTTGTTTTTTTTCATTCAAGATGGCAGAGAACGTCTTAAAATAGTCCCACACAAAAGCACTCACACCCAGAGCCTCGAGTCAGAAGAACTGGCTACACCTAGCGCAACAGCAAAGGACAAAAGAACTGAACCTAGATGTTGAGATGCCTCGTTCCTAATCACTCTCAGTAGGTCCCGCACACAGATTTTAAAACGTGTTAGAAAACTGGCACCTGCTGCCTTCATTAAGAGGACCACGCCTCGACCGTGAACTGTGACCCGAGGCATTTCTGGATACTGACCCAAAAAATCGAGCACGAAAAAAGGGGAGGCTGGGGCGCCTGGGTGGCTCAGTCGTTAAGCGTCTGCCTTCGGCTCAGGTCATGATCCCAGGGTCCTGGGATCGAGCCCCGCATCAGGCTCCCTGCTCTGTGGGAGGCCTGCTTCTCCCTCTCCCCCTCCCCCTGCTTGTGTTCCCTCTCTCGCTGTGTCTCTCTCTGTCAAATGAATAAATAAAAATCTTTAAAAAAAAAAAAAAAGGGGAGGCTAAGTTGTAGAGAGGAGTATCCAAAATGCACGATTGCGCCCCGCCCCACCCGGGCGCAGTACCCCCGCAGCATATCCATCTCCCGGGAAGGAACCGGCAGGGTTCTGGTCCACCCGCCTAGCAACGGGGCCCCAGCTGGGAATTCTGGGCGGGCCTGAGGCGGAGATTGCCGCGGCAAGGGTGCCTGGGGCTACACCTGTCAGGCTGCGGCCAACACTACGCCCAGAAATTGCCGAGATTCGGTGACCGAGGCGGGAAGGAGCGTCACCGATCCATTCTGCCGGGATCGGCCCTTCGCCTTCCCCCTTGTCCTTCTCAAACAAAGGCAATCCACACCCACCGCCATTTTCCCCTTACCTCAAAAACCACCTCTTCGTCAAACTCCGGTGTCATCCTTCTCCGCCATGCCACCCGCCTCAGCACGATGGGAAATGAAGGCGGGAGAACTGGCGGCACCTCGGCGTCTGCTACGGACCGTCACTTCTGTCCAGAAAACTACAATTCCCAGAATGCCTCGCAGCTCACGCCCCCTTTTCAGGACCACTGATTGGAATAGAGCAAGAGCGTGTGGGCGGAAGGGGCAGGAGCGGGAGGAAGCTCGAGCCCACTGATTGGAGGAGGCTGGCGCTTTTGTCCGCCTTTTACGGCCGCGACTAGCAGGGGGCGCCTGAAGCCCTGATTTTTTATTTTTTTGGAGCTGGAGAGGAGCACGCGCCGGCCGAGCCGCCGTGAGCTCTGCTCGTGCCCGCGCCTGGCCGTCCTCCGGGAGCTCGGCTGGGTGGCGCTCGTGCCCGCCC